GGGACTCCAGGATCATGACCTGAGCCGAAGGCAGCCGCTTAACCAACTGAGCCACCCAGGCGCCCCTCTGGTTTTCCATTTTTATTGAGCCGTCGTGGGCACACGTCACTGGTCAGGTTTCAGTGCGCAGCCTGGTGGACGGACAGGTCCCATGAAAGAACTTCTGTGCTGAGTTTCATGAGCGTCCCTCGACTCAGAGATGCTGTAAGAAGCACTAAAGGGGTTTTCCTTGTGATGAAGACACTTAGGATTCACTCTCTTAACTTCCGCATCTGTCACACAGCAGGGTCCCTGCCAGGGCCATCAGGTGGTTCGCTCCCTCCCTCGTTCTCATTTGTCTCCTACCTGGAAGTCTGTGCCTTCTGCGCCCTTCCTCCACTTCCCCTCCTTGCACTTCCCAACTCTCGAACCACAACTCTGGTCTCTTTTTCCGTGAGTTTGCGTTTCTTTGTGGTTTTAGATTCCGCTTAGAAGTGCAATCGTACGATATTTCTCTGATTTCTTGTCGTTTTGTCCATGTTACAATTTTTAAAGCAAATAATGTTGTCTGTTCTGGGCTTTAGATTCCACATAGCGTGTTTAGGTAGGGATTGAACATTTGCTTTCCGTTTGGAAAACTTTGTTTACTTAAGCTATCCAGTACTTACAGTTTCTGGAACCGAGAAGAGAATGCCACGAGAGGCTGGCTGTTGTGGGACACGGGTTGGGGCGCGCTGCCTTCCTGGCTCCTCTGGGACTTGATCTGGGTCTCCCGATGTGCCATCATCTGTGACCAGTCAGACTGTACACAGAGTTGTCTGTGACCCACATTTCATGGCACAGGCCGTGCATGAGGGGTCACGGGGATGGTGAGTGGGGCAAGAGAGCAAGGGGCAGAGGAGCGGGCTGTTGGAGAGGCAGTTAGGGGCCTGGCCACGGATGGGGTGGTCGGAGTGCATCTGGGATTCGCACTTGAGGACCGCTCCCTGTCCTAGGCTCCATAGAGAAGGGATATGGGTACTGCTTTCATGGAGCTTAAACTGGGGTTAGGGGTGACCCTGGCTCATGACCCCTGGGCTGTAGTGATTTGTTGTGTCAAGGATGAGACATCTTGAGAATTTCGTACACCCTTCTGCCTTGTCAAGGTGCAGGCGGCCCGCCATCGGCACTGCAGACCCAGCCCGTGTTGAATGCTGCAGGTGGGCGGGTCACTGACCTTTGGTCTCCCCCTCTAGTATGCCCTGCACGTGTACAACGAGGTGATGAGTGTTGGGCAGAAATACGGAATCCGGAATGCTGGGTACTATGCTCTTCGTAGTCTTCGAATTGAGAAGTTTTTTGCCTTCTGGGGTCAGGATTTAAATACCCTCACCACCCCCCTGGAATGTGGACGAGAATCTCGGGTGAAACTGGAAAAGGTACTGTATCTGCACAGCCCACTGCCCCCCCCCCCCCGCACTGCACCGGAGCTGACTCTACCTCAGAAAGGAAGGGCTGAGGGGAAGGCCCAGGGGTGGCCATGGGTCAACGAGGACAAGGAGGATGTCCTTAGAATGAAAAATGTCTGTCCTAGTAAGAAAACGTTGTGAGCACTTGGCTCCCGCCAACCCCGCCCCAACCCTGAGCTCAGGAGCCACACGCCCCACTGTCTGAAGCAGCCAGGTGCCCTGCTTCGCGCTCCTGCAGACTCTGGGCTTCCAGGGAAGTTTCTCCAGTAACGTGCCACGGACGTGTGTACACAGTACTCCTCTTACATTCAAATGTCTCATTTTTTGTTTTTTTTTCCAAAGTAAATATGAACTTTTTTTTTAAAAAAGTCCTAGGTCAAGAGGATGTTAGTGACGAGTCTCTTTCCCACCTCTGCCCCCCACCGACCCGCACTCCGAGCTGCCCCAGCAGCAGCGTCTCCGCTCTGCCCTCCCCACCTGCCCCCAGCCGGCCCTCCACATGCTTGCTCGCTGCAGCTCAACAAAATCTCTTAGTCCTTCCCTCGCAGTGCAGTAGGTCTCTAGTCTTCTCGGTGAGCAATTACAGATAACGATTTTTCTCTGCTATAAAAGTAATACTAATTTTGGAAAATAGGGAAAAGAATGAAGGAAATTTAAAAACACCTGTTTTATCTGTTCATAATCACTCAGTTTCTATCCTGCTGAGGTTTCTTGTACAAACCTGTATGCACTGAATATAGATGTATATGCATGGGCTTTTTGTCGAGATTATATAAAAACATAAGTTTTTCTAAAATAATTCTAGCGAGTACGTTTGGAGGATTTTTCTTCCTAAATATTTTTTTCTATGTGGTCTTGTGGGTGAACTCTGAAAAATGTATGCCTGTGTTACAGAAGTTCTCTGAGGTCTTTTAATATGGTGAAAGCAGGTTTTCATGCAGTGGGAAAGCCGCGCTGGGGGGCGAGTGCGGCCTCCAGCGCGGCCGCCCCGTCTCAGCCTTGCCCTTCTTTCCCAGGGGATGGACTTCATCGGCCGCGATGCCCTGCTGCAGCAGAAGCAGAATGGGGTGTACAAACGCCTCACCATGTTCATCCTGGACGATCACGACACTGACCTGGACCTCTGGCCGTGGTGGGGAGAGCCCATTTACCGCAACGGGCAGTACGCGGGCAAGACCACCAGCAGTGCCTACAGCTACACCCTGGAGCGCCACGTCTGCCTGGGCTTCGTGCACAATTTTTCTGAGGACACTGGGGAAGAGCAGGTGGTGACAACAGATTTCATCAACCGGGGGGAGTATGAGATTGACATCGCGGGACACCGGTTCCAGGCCAAGGCGAAGCTCTACCCGGTCACCTCGCTGTTCACCCACAAGCGCCGGAAGGATGACGTGGAGCTCAGTGACTTGCACGGGAAGTAATGGCCACTAGCCTCGCTTCCCCACCTGCCCACTCCCGCGGGGCTTCCCCCCCACCACCACCCCTGTCCTCCCAGCTCCTTGATGGGATTTTAAACTTCACCCGCTTTTAAACCTTTTGCTTTGCAGCCTCTCTTCTCCTTCCACCTTTCCTCCTCCCTTCTGCACTTTCCCATCTGCTACTCATTCTGGGCTGTTCTTCCCACCCACCCCTTCACCCCCCCGATTCCCGTGGCAACATGAAGCATGGCTGATGGGCAGGACAGGTGCACACTCCACTTGTGGAAGTAGGTAACCGTGACCGTCTGATTTCTAATGTTGTGTCTCGAAGCAAGGGAAGCGGGGGCTCACTTTTCTCGGAGCGCCCACCCGCTCATTTTGGTGGGTGTTGTGTGCTTGACTCAGCGCTTTGCGCGAGCCCGCCCGTGCTACACCAGGCAGACCATTCTCCTTTTCCACTGGGCTGTGGGTGGGCACCCTGACCCCTCTAGCAAGAGGATGACCATCTACCTCACTCATGAGCGGCATCACGGGGACGTTACCTGGTCTCTAGCGAACAGCTGACCTGGCTCCGGCCTAAAATTCCTTCTGTCTCAGAGGGTTTGTTGGCCTGAGTAAACAAGCCGGTGTTTGAAAGGGAAAACCACGTTGCCTTTTGTGTTGCTCTTCCCAGCTGAAAGGGTCTGCTCTCCGGAGGTGCTCAGCACCGAGGTGGTTTCCCGCCCTTAGAAGGCTGCTGCTTCCCGCCGCTCCAGGCTCGGTGACCCGACCCAGCATCTCCCTCACCTGTCCCTCGTGCGGCAGGCGCTGCTGTCCCTGCGGAACAGGGTGGGTGTGCTGTCCTGGTGAGGAACCAAACCTTGCTGGCTGGCCTCCCATGTTTGGCTTCCTCTGGCCCAGAACAGGCAGATCCCCCCCGACTGACCCCACGGGTCTGTGGGTCTGCCCGCCAGCCAGCCGGCGCTCTGGGTCTCTGGAATGGAAAAGGGCCTGGGGCGCCGGGAAGGCCCTCCACACTGTTAGGTAGGCTCTGCGTCCATCCTGTGCTGTTCCAGATTTTAAACCTTTGTTGTGGTAACTTGGAAGCGTTAGCTCTGATAGGTCTCTGTACTAGAGAGTCTTTTGTTTTAGAGCAGCTGAAAATTCTCCGGCGGGTCTGTCCTTGGGGTGTTTACTTAATCAGATGGATTCCTTCTAGACACTGCTTGCCATTTCCCCAGCCAGACAACTCCTACTTGATTAGTGACTGCTCAAGGAGGTCTCGATTGATTTATTAAGGGAGTAGGTCGTTAGAACTCTGTTCCCTGAGAGCTGCTGCCCCCTGGGTAGGGAGGAGAAGGAGGAGAAAGGGGCAGAGCGGTCGCCCCGCTGCAAAGCAGAGTGCAGCAGTGGAGATGCGCATAGGAGAGCGGGCGCTGGGCCGACGCGGCAGGGGCCCAACTGACCAAGGAACGCGGCACTTAAAGTATGCCGTGCTCTGTGCCACACTCGTCTTTGTAAATGAAGGATTATTTAGGGTTGAATCTAAAAGACATCCTAGATTTATGTGTTAAGGGTCACACTTTTAAGACTCTGGTGAGATGTTAATATCCTGAGGCATCACTTGTTTATTGAGGGCCCTGACACACACTTCGCTTCTGCCACTTTGACACCCTTGAAATCTCTTGCTTAATTCAGACATCATCAGTGTGAATCGGGTAGTTTCTCTCTTTGGTCCTAACTCTGAAGGGGGTGACTCACTCCTGTCTCCTTGCACACCGGGCAGTCAGGCCACGTGCATTTACCTTGTGTGATCACTCGTCTCTCCCTAGAGATCCCTCAGATCTGGACTCCCAGACGGTACGATGGCTGGTCCTTTTTCTCTCTGAAATGATCCGCCGTCACCTCTTGTGCTCTCTTGAGGGAGGGGCTCTACTCTCTTCTTTTTGAACCTGGAAACACAAAGTGTACCGGCCTCAAGCAGATAAAACTCAGGGCTGCCCGTCTCCTGTGGCCCCTCTCCTCCCTTGGAACACCTGCTTACTCGTGCCACATGTATGTAAATCCTGGTTCCCTGCCGTGGTTCCTTGTCTTATATGGAAGCTTGCAGCAGAGACACTACCTGTCCATAACAATGGCAAAGTCAGGAAAGCTCGAATTTGGAAAATTTAAGAGCGAGGGACAAGAACGACCTGCTAACCTGGGTTGGAGCCACCGAGCACCACACAGGCAGGACCTGCTCCAGGAGAGAGAACCCAACAATTCCCACTACATTTCTAGTGCTCTGCTGGGGGCGGGGGTCTCTCCCTGTACCCCCAAATACAAGAGCTGCCGTTCAGGCCAAGGGCCCAGAGACCACTTAAGCTCAGTGATTAACCTCAGTTACCCCATTTCTGCAGGAGAAACCCCGTCACTTGGCTTCTCACCAGGAGACATGTCCATGGATTCTACCTTCTTGTACAGACCAACAGTTTTACCTCTTTCCAAGAAAGTCACTAAAACAAGTGAAAAGTAACGCCACTTTCTCCATTACCCTGCCTCTGAGTGCATTTGAAATGTTAACACCCCCCCCCCCCCCCCCCCCCCCCACGGATGCAGCAGGAATGACAGCAGCTTTCTGAAAGTGGTTTAGCTTCACTGAAGAGCTGACCCCTCACCTTGCTTTCTGGCTTGGTCTATCCTCTGCCTCACGGACACGTGTGCTGGCATCGGAGTGAGTCTTTACCCTCCTCTGAGAACCTAAGGGACATAAAAGGGAAGCTTCTATAACCTGTTGTCTTGGTTCTGACCCTAGAAGGCTGTGTCCCAGCTGACTTTCAGGGGTAGCTACCGGGTTCAATTTTCTCTCTGTAGCTGCCTGACCAGTATAAGCAGCAAGGAGCAGCAAGGCTCCCCTTCAGTGTCCAAGGTAGAGGTGTGGTCACTAGTGCTTAATACTGAAGAACTTTCTACTGTTTCTTTCCATTTCCTTTTGCACACCCCCCTGCACCCACATCCCTCCCCAAATTGATAAAAGCAGCTTTTATCAGCACGATAAAGGGAACATTTTCACGATTCAAGAACAGTCATTTGCAGGCACATGGATTCAGGAGCAGCACAGCAGAGGGGCAGAAATGGTAGCTGACCGAAGGGTCGTGCTAACCGTGTCCCACTGTGAGCGAGCCCCGGCTCTGCCTGGCAGCCCCCACCTCGGCCTCCTCCACTGCAAGGTGCTGAGTTGTAAGGCTCCCTCCCCACCCGCACAGGGATTGCATTTGCAGTCCCTCATCACTACAAATGCACTATTTTTCCAGAGAACTAAATATTTTTGTATGTCTTTGCCTTCTCTGTCCATTAAACACCAGAGTTATTCATTGTATAATATGATTCTTGACTTCTCTGAGCAGAGACTCTGCATCCCTTGAAGAATTAGACATTTCTTCATGGGCTCGCTTTCTCTTATTTAGATGTACCTACTTTTACCCTTCGCAAACCTTTTCTGCCTTCTTGGTTTTCTGTCTCTCAAGGACAGAAATTACAAGAGGGTGGAGAGGATATTTTTAGCATCTGTTTCAAAAGATCTATGCCAGGATTTCCTTTGCACACCAAGAACTGGAGCTGGGAGCACCTCTCTTTAAGCCCGGTTCTCGTGCCTTACCCCAGAATGTCCCATGGTGGGTGTAGACAGGAAGGATGAAAAGAAACTTCATTTCAGTCTGAGGGTTCCCATCCACCCCACCATAGCCTCCCTTCCCCAGATCAAGCAGATGAGGGGTAGAAAGTTTCTGCAGCTTGTTTCAATCGGGGTTTCTAGCAGCATAGTTAATACTCTCGGGTCTACTCTTGGGATCCAGGAAATGCCACTGTAATGATTGTACAAGGCTGTAACTCCTTATTTACGTTTATAAATGTGCAGTTCACTCAGCCCCTTTCTGTCCCTGTGTAGCATCAGCTTGTGGTGCTGAAGACATCGGAGGCACTTTAGGGGCTGGGATTTTTCTCAAGAGCTCTGATAACTTCAGGTACCTAGGGGGACTGAGCATTTCTGCCTCCATGAATGCGGTATTAATATTGTGCACTGTGTTTCTATCAAGCCAGATTCCAATTAAGATTTTCTTTTCGTATTACTAAGTTTGTAAATGAATAAACAGACATTTTAATTACTCTGGCCGTGTCTACTTGTGAAATGTTCTTCAACTCTAGTAACTCAATAAATATATTTGCCATCACAAGGGGTAAACACTTTCCATAAAACCATTTATACTATTACCAAAGAAGAGAAACGTGGAAACCAAGGGTAAGCTATTAACCTCCACAGCGTGGTGGCAGCCTGGAGAGAGCGCCTCGGACTATCGTCCTGAGGTTACTCTCTGTTGATGAATCTGACCTCCCCTCCTGTCGGACAGTTGATTACATAGTAAGAACCTGGCGCTTGACATATCACCCATCTACCTGAGGACCCACACTGGTGTGTGAAACACACTCTGTATATTCTTAGTCACACAGTAGGAAGAGAAGAAAACAGAAGCACCCAGTGATTCTCACTATACTAACCTAAAAGTCGGTCACTGGACTTTATTACCCAGCTATTTTATGAGCAACTACATCTGTGAATCACTAGATAGGCTAATATGTCTATAACAATCTCATTAACTGGTCTTCCAAACCTACTTGTTAAATTTCCAGATTACTGAATGGCGAGCATTCAATACAAAAGTACATCCCACAGGCTTCGAGACTAATTCCAAAAGAAGAGTTCTCAAAACATTGTGCACCATGACATTTCTGGAATATCCCACAGTGATTACTTTGAAGGGGACGATTCTCGAATTAAGTGTACCTCCTCCTCATTATTAATATACCAGATTACATACATCCATTACACGCCACATTAGCAACGGGGAACTCTAGGAAGGAAGCACCCAGCAAGCAGGGTCTGAGCAAGGAAGACTTACCTTCCAGCCCCTCCACCAAATGAAAGGCCAGCAGAGTTCATTCCCGCCAGCACAAAGTAGCCCTGAACTGAAGGAGACTCGCCCATGATGCACCTCATGTCTGGGGTGAAGGTCTCGGGGCAGTTCACCAACTTCAGGATCTCCAGAGTCTCCAGGTCTGGCATGAGACGCAGGTGGGAACACATCAGGGGCTCTGAGCCATAAAAACAAAGCCAAACACAGGCCTCAGCTTTAGGGAATTCAAACTCATCCGCTCCTTGTGTTTCCCGACTCCTCTCCTCTCAGAAAATCTCCTGGAAGAGGCTTTCTGAGGTGAGCCAAACGGGCCCTGGTCAGAAAGCACATACCACATAAATGCACTGTCTTCTGAGGATTAGCGTTGTAATACCGGGAAATCCAAGTTGTGCATATGTCACGTGTCTTTAAGTCTCAAAAGCAGTCCACTGACCGGCCCCTGCGCGTCCTGCCGGATAACAGAATCCTCCATCGGGGGACCCCACATCCCCTTTTCACTGCACCACGGCTGAACTGCAATGGGGGTGACAGACTGAGGGTGATCCCCGGACTCTCCCTTGCCTGACTTCCTCGCTGCCCTGCAAGCATCAAGGAGATACCAGGCCCAAAAAGGGGTTCCAGATGGTGACCCAGAACTCAAGTGAGACAAACTTAGCTTACAGAAAAGAGGCCTACGACTCGGGTTCCTCTAGCATCCAAGCAGGTAAGCAATGTAGGGCTCGGCAAAGCACTAGGGACCGAACCAGGGGACCGACCGCAGGGAAGCCAGTAGTTCCAGCTCGGGGCCCCTTAGGTGGGCCCTCTTCTGACTCAAACTCTGCTTACCACCCGATTCAAGTACCCGTGGCCACCAAATTAAATCCAACCAAAAGGGACTCGCTCCCGCCTGTCCTGCACGTAGCAGGCATCCTCCCTGACAAAAGCCAGAGGTGGTGAGGCAGCAGGAACGCCTTCTACTATCTTCACTCAGAGTCCTCGCCTCTCCAAAGAAAGCCTGGCCAAGTGAGAGGTGACCGTGGGGGAGTCAGGCTCATCTGCTGGGCGGGGACCAGGGCGAGGCAAGTGAGGCGCCCGCTCTCGGCACCGAGCCGGGGCAGGGCCAGCCTGGGAGCCCTGCTTATGTGCTCGAGGGCTACAGCCCCTTCCTTCCCCTCCTCTAGCTCCTCTCCTGGCATCTCCTCTCTCCACGAACACAGCTACCCAATCCCAGTTCCCAGACGTTCAGTCTTAATCGAGGACTTAGACACAAGGACACTTTGCCAGAGCAGGAATCCTATGAAGGGGAAATGCTATAAAACCTCAGCCTGTCATCAAAATTTCCAATACTTCAAATCTCACCTTCCCAACGAGAACCGTGTCACGGGTCACACGAGGTCTGAGCCGGCCAGCAAAGGCGACCATCCACTGTGTTTACGCTGTGACCCCCGGCAGGGCCGCCTCAGCGGGCGAACAGATCAGGCTACCATCCTTGTCAGGATTAGCCTGGAATTACCTGTGATCTGAATTATGCGGGTCTTCAAAAGAGCAACCCTGACGGACGGGGGCGTCCTGAATTTCATCACTAGGCCCCGCTCCTCCCCCGGGACATTTCCCGTGGCCACCAAACGGTTTCATCAGCCACGACGCGAGGCTCGCCCCTGGGCTCCTGGCCGATGCATCACCTGACGGCACGCTGACAGACACGCTTCTAACTTGTGATCGTGCGGGACCCTCCCATGGCTCAGCCTTCCCCTTCTACTTGCTCCGGTCGTACTTAGCTCACGATTCCCTGGGTTCTTTTCCCTTGCTGACACGCATAACGGGTAACCTCCGTTTAAGCTTTTCAGTCAGAAGAGGGCTTCGGAGCAACTGGTGAAATGCAGCGGGTCAGACCACGATTTCACCATCAAGCACCGAAACGGAAGTATGTCCTTGGCTTCTTCGTCCAGGAGCCAAGCGTGGCCACTTGCTAGACTTCAGTGAGTGAAATAATAGGAAATGGCCCGGGAAGCCTTTCCTATCCTGAGAATGATAGGCTCTGGAAAGGATCTGGGACAAGGACGGAATCCCCTCGGCGGGTAGGGAAACTGGAGACAGCCCAGCACGCCAACAGACGTGCCCCAGGAAAGACCCTGGCGACTGGCAGAGCCCGGACTAAGACTCAAGCCCTGACCACCAGGTCGGCAGGCTGACGCGGCGTCGGGCCACACACGGCACGGAGCACCAGAGTCTGGGGCACAGGCGGACCAGTAAATGGCGGATTACCTGCTTACCTGTCTGGATCCCCGTCTCTTGCTCTAACTGGTGGTAGAGTTTGTTGGAATAGTCTGCCATCTTCTGCTCGATGGTCAAGTGCCTGGCGGTGCTCAGGATACCAGCACAGAACCTCGTAGAGCCGGCAGCCAGCCTGCAGGATGCATCCAAAATGCTATCAGGTACACTCCCACAGCTGTGAATGCAACTAGTTCAAAGATCCTCACTATGGCATCGTGTGTCATATCGAAAGATGGAAGCAACCTACGTATCCACCGACATGAGCGGGACTGAACAGGCTGGAGGACCCCTCTACGATGGGATACTCTACACGGCCATAAAGAAAGGAACGAGAGAAAGCTTTTATGCAACAATACGGAACAACCCTAATGAGAAAAGCAAGGGGAGGGACACTGTTTAAGGTTCGCTACTAACTTGTATAAAAAAGAGAAAAAAATAATAAACGAATACCCGGGTACACATATACAAACTGACCGATACAGATTTGCTCATATGATGACTCGGGGAGTATCTGCAACGATACACAAGGAACTTAACTTGCCTCCAGCGAGGGAACCTTCCAGCTAGAAGTCAGGGGTGGGAGGCAGAATTTTCCCTGTACACTCTTTTACAATTTTCAATCTGACTCGTGTACATGTATTGCCTATTCAGAAATAAATACAAAGGACGTGTTAAAGGTCATCCAATTTCTGGTAGGCAATAGAACAGAAAAGGGACATTAGGGGAAAAGTGACACAACTTGAACAGAGCATGAACTTCAGTTACTACTAAGGTATCCACACGGATTCACTGCATTTCACGGTGATCCCACCCTAAGGTGTTCCTCCGAGGTGTGCACGGGACCCCGGCATACGGACTGCTGCACTACCTTCACGTCTGTTCTGTAAATCTACCACTGCTCTCGAGTGAGTGAGTTCCACGGGGAAAAGGAACAGAGATCAGGCAGGAGGTAGCCAGTTTCATCTCGGCTCACAGAGGAAGCTCCTGAGCCACGGGGTTGATGTCGCTGTGTGACTACAACGGAGAGGACAAGACGGCGAGGTGTGCCGTGACCCTGAAATGAAACGCACCCTCTCTAGAGACCTGGGTGTGCTGGAATCGGCCACCTCTGTCCAAGCCGGAAAACACGGGCGGTTTGCATCGCAAAACCGCGTCCAGGGGATGTTGCCTGCCTGTGGTTCTTGTCCTGCGACTTAGCGCCAGTCAGCTTAGCTACTGGCGGGACAACATTACCGGGAGGGGAGGGGCTGAGGGGACCCACGCAGTCTGGTCCTTACCTGCCCTGCTCCAGAAGGACAATATCCTTCCACCCCATCTTGGAGAGGTGATAGGCCACGGATGTGCCCATGATCCCACCACCACAGATGACCACCTGCGCCTGGGCAGGCAGGGCGACAGAATGCGCCTCGGCAGCCGACGCGCCGCTCCTCCCCGACGACCAGTTCTGCCATCCTCGGCCGGTCCTTTGTCTTCGGACCACCGACAGCAGCCGGTAAAACATCACGTCTGCCAGCAGCTCGGCGTGGTGCTCTCACTTGGCTACGGCAGAGACCCCCGACATGCACACTAGACGGAGAAAGCAACCAGATTTCATTCCACGTACTGTACTCAGGGCACAGGATTACTGAGAAAGGGAGAGGAGGCGCCAAAGAACGCTAATCATGCCCTCCTCGGCCAATGTCTGAGGCCCTGCGCAGTTCCAGACGCTCTGCCAGCTGCAGAGACAGCAGGGGACAACAAGGAGGAGGGTCTTGCCTTTATGCACCTTTCATTAGAGACACAGAGAGTGAGTGGGTGTGTGAGTGTGTGTGAGGGTGCCTGTGGCAGGGGCGGCCCAGACACACATAAAACAAGGAACAAGGCCGGTGTGCTGCAACGCCCGAAGGCATATGTAAACTAGGACGGTCGGGAAGAAGGGGACGTCGGAGGAGAGACCTGATGGTGACCGGGAATCAGCTGGATGCGTCTTCCGGACAGAGGCGCAGGCACGTGCAAAGGCCCTGAGGGGAGGCCGACCCTGCGGAGTCCGAGCACAGAAGGGAGGCCAGTGTGCCCAGAGCACGAGGAGCGAGGCGGAGAGGACCCAAGACAAGGCTGGAGAGGGAGGCAGGAAGCAAGGACACACAGCGCTTGGGATGCCATCGTGACGAGCTGGGATTCTGCTCCGGGCGCAAAGGAAAATACTAAAGCAGGGAATGAAACGATCAGATATGCTTTTCCAAGATCAGTCAGGCTCCACGGCGGCGGGAAGTGGGCTGGAGAACGAGAGGAAAGGCAGGGCCGGGCAGCTGCTGCGGTAGTCCTAGAGGGAGGGCCTGGGGGCTGAGACCCGGACGGTGGCAGGGGAGTCAAAGCCACGGTTGGATTGTTCTGGAGGTGAAATGACGGCCCTGACTTACCAACAAACGGGATGTTAAAATGGGGGCAGGGGGAGAAATAAGGATGATGGCAGAGTTTCTGGGTTAAGCAACTGGTGCCACTTACTACAGTATGAAGGGCTAGGGATGGGGAGGGAGACGGGGAAGGAGAGGGAGCGAGAGGGAGGCTGCGAAAGGGTGCAGGCGCGGGTGCGCAGACAAGCCAACGTTCCCCTCTGAGGGGTCAAGTGCAAGACGCCGGGCGGGCACGCACGGGAAAAGGTCAGGCAGCAGCTGGACATCCAGGCCGGCAGCCAGGGGAACACGTGGGGTATCCGAGACCCGGCATGCTGAGGAACAAGAAGAACCCTGAGGCTCCCCAGCAGGTACAGCTTGGGAAGAGAAAGAAAGTACCGGACAGAGGACAGAGCGCTGGGCAGACGCACAGAGCATCCGGACAAACAGAAGTGGTGCAACAGACCGAGAAGGAGCCTCGGCGAGGCAGAAAAGAGAACTGGGCTGCGGTGTCACAGAAGCCGAGAGAGAGGAAAGGGTTTTAAGAAGCGGTTCGCTACGGAGGGTGCCCGGGGGTGCAGCAGGACGGCCAAGGGTCCGTCCGCTGGGACTTGACAACAGAGGTCCTTGGTGTCCCCAGAAAGAACATTCCCAGGAGAGTGCTCGGGATGAAATCCGGACCAGAGCAAGCTCCAGAGCGAGGAGATGAGGGAGTGCAGACCACTCCTTGACTTTCTGCTCCAAAGAGAGCAGAAAAACCAGCCAGCAGCAAGAAAAGAATGGGAGCAGAGCAGGGTTCTTGGTCTATAAAGTCGTGGGCCGTGGAGACTGTTTCACTGCTGGCAGGAAGGGCCAGTAAAGGGGAAAGAGGTGGGTCCGGAAGGAGAGGTGGTGACAAAGAACGAGGTCCTGGAAGAGGGGAGAGAGAGAGAGAGAGGACCCAAAGCCGCAGCGAGGGACGGCGTGCCCCGGGTCTGCCCAGGCCACGGGCTGGAGGGAGACTCAAGGACCAGCAGGCCTCTTCCCGGAAGCAGGGGAAGGTTAGTCCGGGTGGGCTTATCCCGCCAACTCGGGTGTCACGCGCTGTGACCAAGCACACGTGTCTACGAGACAACTAGCATCATAAGGCAGAGAAGGGAAAGGGTACGGGATCGGGCCACCAGAGAGAATTACTCTGCCGGCAAAGCAGAGGCCTGTTCAGGAAACTGCAGACAGACCTGCCGGGAGACGGCAGGGTCACCGAGCGTGGGGAGAGGGGGGACTTCAGAGGACAGCCCCGGCAGACAGTGCGCCCAGCAGCATGCCACTACCCACGGCGGGCCCCAAACAGCCCAACTCGTCCAAGGCCCAGGTGTGGGTGCCCGTCCATCACCACACAGCATCTCAGGACGGAGACCGAGCAAGGCCTCTACCGCGTCCCAGGATAAATCCCATCCAACCAGGGCTGAGGACTCGGCCACCTGGCGGTAGTCACCAGGCCTCACACCCTCGGTCCCTGTCCAAGGGTCTCAAGACAGAAGCTTCTTCCTGCAACCTCGTCTCCACGTGACCAATTTCTGTCCCTCCCTCCGTGTCTCTCTCTCTGCTGTCCTCCCCTCCAGACCTCTCCACCGCGCCCTCCAGAACATCCTTTCCGGAGTTAAGCACCCGGCCCTTCGCCAGTACTGTCTCGCCTGTCTCCACGGGGACGCAGCTCTTCTGAGGGAGCGGCCACCGCCGCACGGCCAGCCCCACTCTACTGAGCTCGCCACGCGGGGGGCTGGGGGGTGAGTATCTGCCTCCTCCTCCCTTCAGAACTATTACTGCTTGGTCACACTCGAAAAGGCCCAGTTCCTCTGAGGCTCAGGCTAGCAGACACCCCCTGCCTAGCCCCGGGGCCACCGCGGGTTCAGCCACAGGCAGATGTCTGTCTACATTCGGGTTCTGAACCCACGACACTCCTCTCCCAACCTCGGACCCCACCTCCTCTCTTCCTCCCTTCAAAGCAGATAACCTGTCTCATCGCATCCCCTGAAACTCCACCAATCATCCCACTTGCATCTACAACCCTCTCTCCTTCCCTCAGAGGGTCAAAAGTTCGTCGCCCCACAAGAGCCCCGGATCCCTCTCCCTCCTTCCCTGGGACTCAGCTCCATGAACCCAGCTCCTCTTCCACGTACCTTCGGTGCTCCGCTCTGACCCTCAGCGTTTTCATATGCTCAAGTCCTCCCAACCCACCAAAGAAATGGAACAAAAGCTCTGTAACTGTCTTCGAGTAGCGTCATTTTAAAAATTCTAAATGGTAAAAAATATGGTCTTGGCAAAAAGCACAAACGTA